TATATAACACATTTACAGCAGTACGAGTATTTTATTTTTTCCAAAATTGAGAAGGTGAAAAGGAGGCTTCAGTCCAATATAAACAACGGACTTATGCTTCAAATTCCTAAACACAGTAAGCACAGAAATGTGTACACATTGCAAGTCATTAGTTCAAGCCCACCAAACATTTCCTGAGACAATTACCTTCGCTGCTATAAAATTTACTTTGCACAATCCTCTGGAGCGTTACTAATTGCTTTTCTTAACCTCCAGAGATTAAAGGATTTTGAAATGAACATATAGACAAGTAGTGACTCTAATTTCAAATCTATGCTTTATTAAGGCAAGCTCTGTTTTACGAAATAGGGTCATTAAGAGAATGTTTAATGTTGGAAATATCCATTCCTAATCTCCTCATCTTCCTCCAATCTTGAGAAATTGCACTCTGCCTGTATTTTTTTTTAAATGCGGTGCAACCTCAAGTCATTTCCATCTGGCATCAGCTCTATGTCTCATCTTCAAGAATACACATAACCATGTTGGCACTTGTTTCTCAAATCCTTTTCCACTAGGGGGTATGATAGACTGTGACTGTATTTCACAGTAAACCTTCTGTATGATATTGTAATACTAAAGTATACACACATGAGGGAGAAGAACAGGCAGGCAGAGCTTGGTACATAATTTATGGAGATTTAAATCCTGTCATTCATAAATATAATTATAGCCTACGGCTTGAAAGTGATATGGACCTTGCCATATTGATCATGCTCCAGCTCTGTTTATTCAGATCATTCATTTGTTGACAGGCAAAATATAATAAGAATATTGTTAGTCAGTAAAACAATTAATGAAAGGAAATACTTCTATTTTACACAAAGAATATTGTTTGTTTCTGTGCATGTTGTGCACCCTCCCACCTTCAGATGGGAAATATAAACCCAAGGGGAGGGGATATTATTAAATCAGCAATCAACCTTCAAGTCATTTTGGTATAAACACTGTAATTACTTCATCTCTAGTAAACAGAATATAAGACAACAGCACATAAGGGTGACAATTTGCAATATGCTTTGAATGTCTTTGTTAAAAAAAAAAAATTATTATGGCTGAAGGCAACATTATTGAAATTAAAAAAAAGCAGAAATTGTGACAGCCAACAGAGGGGGTAATTAGTCAGTAAATTTCAAGTAATAAATTTAGCAGGTCATTGCAACAGACATTACATTTTGCGTGGGGAGAAGTCACTGTTTATTAGCCTCAAAGCCAGACCTGCTTACCTTTATTCAAAAAAACACCATAACAAAGTATTAGAAAAAAATGATAAGTGCCATTATAATAGTGTAGTCCAGATGCCTTCTAAAACTCACAATCTTCTCTTATTTAGGTGGGTGTAAGCTCAGTTACGCCAGAAGGGTCAACTACAAATTTACATAGGTGTAATTGTAGTAGCATACAGCTCTGTGTGTGTGTGTGTGTGTGTGTGTGAATAGACAAAAAAATCTGATATAAAAGATTGTCTTTCTAGATTAAAAGGGCTGCTACCTTACATTTTTAATTTCAGTTGCAGCAGATGCATGTCTTCGATGTAGGTTGTGTTTCAGCCTGGACATTGTGGTTTACATTTCCGATTGCTTTCACCTACGCAGCTGGCTGAGTGCTGGCATGATGTAACCAGCCAGCCAGGAGGGATGCCTCTGCTAACCGGCAGCACCCTCCCTGATCTGTGGGAATGGTTTGTTTGCAATTCATCAGGTCATAAACAATCGTGTGCACTTCAGTGAGCCTCCGTATTTAGAGCGATGTAAAGACAATTGCCATTAATATTAGCTAGGCTTCAGAGGGTTTGACAGCCGCACAAAAAAGCAGTCTCATCTATCTAATTTAAAGTTCCTGGTTAGGAAGTATCAGGGGTGCATTTTATACATCTTAGAACCTTTTCTCGGGCTGGTTGCCTTCTTGTTAAAAAGTCTTTTAAGAAATATTTTGCAGTCAAGTAATTACCGGTTTTGTTTAAATGTTCTCGTCCAACACATAATGAACAGCGAGGAATTCCCCAAAGGGCATCTATTGTTATTGAAATATTTATTTATTGAGTGCTTTTGCCAGAAGCCCCCCCTGAGAAAAATCTCATTTTATGAGCTCCTGAAGCTGTCAGTTCCCAAAACATCGGGCAGAAATGCAATTTTGACCAAGTAATCTCAAGGTCTTTTGTTTGCTTTTAAATAAATAGCAGAATACCAATGTGTAAAAAGTTGTGACAAGAGCTGCTTTATTTTCTGTATTTTGTAAATATTCCTAGTGAAGCTGTGTTTATGTGGTGCTCAGGTGATTCCTTACACTCAAGCGTTCAATTGCCACAGTAGAGAAAAACAATATCCCATATAGCTATATATGAGTGGGTATTTTAAATGATTCTGAGATTTCTTCTTTCCTGCAAAAGAACGGTGTTAACCCAATACCATCCCACTTGCGTAAGGAATTTTTCTCCCACCATGTTTTTTCCTCTTTATTTAGCTACATTTTCCCATCAGCGGCAAGGAGAAATGACAGTGCTTGTGGCAATGCATACACGGGCACGACTTGGATCCTGTCGTGTTCCTGGATTATCCAGGTGGAGTCACTAGAGAATAGTGCGATGGTCCCTGCCAGGCTTCACTCCTCTGAAATCCCTGCCTCTCACTGCCTGGGCTGGATCACTGAAATGATCCAGTTTTAATCTATATGATTTTAATGGTGCCATGAGGCATGCATAGCTGCAGTGAGTGGGGCAGGAGGACAACTGAGCAAGGAGTGAGCTCTGGGCCAGAGACAGAAGCAAAAGGGAAGGGGGAAAGGGAACTTTTTATGTCTTTGCTGATAAAGCTGAAGTGTAACTACACTGTGCTTGAAAGTTTGCATTGGTTCCAGGTTCTCAGCTATAATGGACTATGCAGTGTAGATTTTGGGACAATATCTAAAGGTGTTTTTTTTTTTCCACCCTATCTTTGTCATGGGACAGCTACATACTGGGTTGGTGCCTGCTTTTATTTAAAGCAGACTGCTAATTACACTGTAAAGGTCTGAGCAGCCAGAGAGGAATCATCATTTCTCTTAGGCTGGCAATGCAGAAAGGACAGTGCAAGATTAGCTATAGTCAGTGTATGGTGTCATGAAACTCCCAGGTGCCTTTTACAGTAGATTATGTCAGCATTAGTGACAGAATTGGGGAATGGCCTGAATTTTTGTAAAGCAATTATCTCAAATAAAATATGCTTTGCAATTGTTGAGTATTATAAACGAAAATATTATTTAAATGATGCTGATAAATGCTTTATAATTACCTAACATTATTAAAATACATTTCTTGTACATTAATGACCTGGCATCTGGAGTGTCCTGTAGCAATAGAATTTCTCTGTTTTCTTTTTCTTCCCCCCGCCCCCCCGAAGAGTATTTAGAGAAAAATGATTGATTAATGACAGTTCCTATTAACTCCAGAATAAAATGTGCGCACTGCATGCTTTGCTAGTAGAAGATTGAAAGGATGCTTCTTAGTCTTACTCTGATTCCCTTTGTGACCTCGAAGCAAAGTTTTACGGTTAATAATATTTTTTTTTCTTTCTGAAATGGAAAAAGTTTAAAGGTATTTCTGTCTAGGATATATGTGATGCAATTAAGCAAACTTCATTAAGTGCTCTCCGCTGTATGAATGCAAAATATTAACATGTTAGTAAAAGAATAATTTAATACTTCATTTCAAGCCCTGCAACAAAAATATTTTTTGAGTTATTTCTTTTATGCAGCAATTTTTCAGATTTCATTCTCTTATAAGCCACAGCTATAGGAGGTCAAAGCATGATACACGTATGGTTCCAGCCAATGTACTGCACCATTGAAGCAGGGTTGTTATTCATAGTATAAATGTAATTCTTCTCACTGGTTGTATGAATAATAAAAGCGTAAGAACTCACATACTACTTAGTATGTAAGTTAACTTTTACAATAGTGCCAATTTTCATCTTTGTTGAGCCCTTGCACTCTTTTCCTCTGTAAATTATTACATTATAGTTTCTACAGTTTCGTGTTACCCAGAAATTTTCCTCAAAAATACATTTTCTATATTTGTGTGTGTGTATTTTTCTTATGTTTTTCATATATATCTACTTTAGTAGAATTTTAAGGATATCAGAATGGAAATTTCTTTATTGCTTTTATCAGATGTGCATGTAAGTTGGATATTATTGGGATGGGTGGAGAATGAATGCAGCATTACATATACGGATTTATTTTTCTTTAAAAATGCGCAATGAACAATTTTTGTTAAACCCTGAATACTTTACTCTGCCGTTCTTCATTTGGCTAATCAGTACCTTCCTCTGAAATGCCTCATAGATTTTAATGCCATAAAGGACCATCAGACTACACCCAAAAAGGTCACCATACGGTCAATCATTTCCCTTCATAAGTTTTTCAAAGAGGTGATTACCTCTGGTGTTAAAAGATAAATACTTTGTGGTATCTTTCTGGTCAAAATCAGCTATTGGATCAGATATGTCCAAAATCTTTCCCCCACACATGTTCTTGCAGAATATGATCAAGATAAATATTCTGAGTTTCTTTATTATCCCTCTGACTTACAGTCGTGACAGCAGGACTAAGCTTGTATTGATGTTAGGCATATAAAATTTGAAACTACATGTAATCTTCTTTGGATGCTGATTTCCAGTGATGGTTTATGCTGTACTTGGAAGAATAACAATTTCAGTGCCTCCATTTTGCCATTTTCATAATAGGAATAGTATTTACAGGAGTGTTCTGAAGTTTAGCTAATGTCGTTGAAAGTCTTTCAGACAGGCACAAGATACACACAAGAAACCACAAGAGGTATAAAAATGTATGCAAATGTAGCTAATGAAGCAAAAGGAAGAGGGCTAAATGGTGTCTTAATAGTTTCTCCTTAAAAATCTATTTTGATAAGCAATATTATGCCAAATCTCTTGATTATGAATCTTACATTTTTTAATAATCTCTTCCAGTGTGCTAGGACCAGCTGTGACCTTCAGAGTGCACTCAAACCTCCAAAACATTTCAACTGCAGATGTTGCCAAAGCAGCAGGTAAGAGTCTTTGTCCTCCATTGCCAACCTGTGACCTCCCAAGCATCTGTTTAGTGGGCAGTAGCACTACAACTAGCACAGAGACATCCCATTCTCCCAGGAAGATTGACATTTAAAGAGGGAGACAGTCGAGAGGTGAGTGGCACATATGGGAAACTGAAGTGTAACATCTCTGAGTCAATTAGAACTGCCTCAGACTTCCTTGTTTGTTGATGAAATGGATTAAATAGAGACTTGTAGTCAAGGCCTAGCATGGTGAAAAACTCTTTGGTTTTGTCATGAACTCATAAAAACAGATTGGTTATTTGTAAATGAGGATGTAATACCTTCGCTTTTCCAATACTTTTTTTCAGGGAACAAAAAGGTTATTACATGTTAGCCTTAATTTCTGGATCAAAAGATGGTAGAAATATACCTTTGTTGGTGTGCTGTTTAGGCAATTTCAATGACAAGTTAATCTTGGGAATAAACATTGTATTTCTGGAGCTAAGCTGCTTCTCAATGAGTACCACTGTTCCAAGGACTCCCGTTGGCTTCTTGTCAACTTGGTTACTAACTGTATTATGGAGTTGTTGACTGCAAGAAATCATTTCTGCAAAGTAACTGAATTGATAACTGGTTTGCTTCCAAATTACCCAATTGATAGGTTTTAAAGATTATGAATGAGCAAGTTGCAATTTTGCTTGAAAATAGAAACAAAATTTTATTCAGACAAACACTGGGACCCCAAAACTGTCCGTTAACTTCTTTTGCTTCACCATGGATGAATTTAGCTATAGAAGGAACTGGGGTAGTTCCCATGCCAGAACTTTTCTTGTTGGAATGTGGAGGATTCCTCCCATGCAGGACCCACTGGAGGATTGTAAGTGTCTGTAAAAGAGATTATGAAAAACAGTCAAACGAACACTTAGCCGTCACCAACAACATCTTGTATCCACCCTGAGTTTTAAGGAGCTTAAGAACAAGAAAGGTTAAGCATTATCAGTTGTGTGAAGCCTTTCACTTTAAGCTTTCTTGTTAACTGGTGATTAGAGTAGCAAATGGCATACCATTTTTCTTAAAAGGGTTTAACATATCAAAAAGCCATAGATGTGTACTGTCAAAATTAGGAAATTACAATAAAGTAATTATTGAATTGTGGGACACTTGAATGTGTATGATTTACCTTGGAAAAATTAATATGGTTTTATAGCAACACCCTGCCTTGTAAACCTGTTGAATCTCTCTGAAGGGATCAACAGACATGATGCAGCTGGTAGAGCGTGCCTGGGTTGCTAAAGACTTTTGACAAGGTCTTTCACTAGAAGTTTTTAAGGAAACTAATTGTTTCTTAGAATGTGGAATATGGAACACGAAAATGGTGGATCAGTTATTGGTTAAGAGGCAAGAAACAGAGATTAGGAATAAATTACTAGTTTTCTCAAAGGCTAAAGATAGCAGAAAAGTGCAAGGATCTCTGCTGGGACTGTGGCATTCAACATACTTACAAATGAGCTGGAAAAGAGAGTGAGCAGTGTGATGAGAAAGCCTGTTAATAGCACTAAATTATTCACAGTATTAAAGGTGAAAGTTGGTCTTAGAAATGTATAAAAACCTTACCAGACTGAGTGCCCAGACCCAAAATGGCAGACAAAATTCATTGTAAATTAGTGTAAAAAAAAAGTATATGGAGAAAAATATAGCTTTACGTATGAAGTTATAGGTGTAAATGGACCATTACTGGTCTGGAGTAAGAACTTAGTGTGGTAATAGGTAATTTAATGAAAATAACTCTTCAGTCTATATTATCAGTTGAACAAGGAAAGTGTTTTTAAGAATTATTTGGAAAGGAATAGAAAACAGAACAATATCATTTGTTCTTGCATAAATCTATCCCTTGCTTGTATTTAAATATGCCATACAGTTCTGCTTCTCATACCTCAGAGAGGTTGGAAACTCTGGTTGAAATGGAAAGATTCAGAGAAAGGCAGAAGGCATGACTGTAAGTATGGAATATATTCCATATAACAAATGGTGAAATAAGGCAGGAATCTTTATTTTGGAAAAAAAGATGAGTATGGTATGAGAATGGTCTGTCAAGTCCAGAGTGGCACAGCAAATGTGGATGGGATTGTGCAGTGGCTCTAACAATGCAAGAACAGATGAAACTGGCAGAAGGCAGGTTCAAAATAAATCAGAATGCAGTTTGTAGCTACGCCTGTTGTGGATAATGAAGCTTACATGTGTTCAAACATGTAAAAACTTCATGGAATAGACATGCGCGGAAATTCAGCAAGTCCATAGAAACCTTGTCTAGTTCAGGAGGTTCCTGATGTGCCTTGGCCTGTTCCTAGCAAGTTACTCTGAAATGTATAAATGCTGTGACTAGTTTATTTCAGCAAAACTAAGCAGTAACATAAGGGGTTTTTCTTACCACTGGGATCAAATTAGTTGTTTTCAACTTCTTTAACTTAAATATTGCTGACAAAGTAGGGAGGTTCTGGGGACAAAAAAAGTGACCCCAGAGGAAGTTCTACAGATTCACCAGCTTAAATGAATCTTTTATATTGTAATTTTATATACTGTACATATTCATATCCCAGGCATTTCATAACTTCTGTTTGTTTAGTACATTAAAATTTTCAGGTTTTGATGGCTGTACAAAGAGGTTTGTGGGAGTCTTACATCAGCTCCTCTCGGTATGTCACCATGGCCATAGTATTGTTATAACTAAACTTTGTGTTTGCCTTTTACAAAAAAAACGCTCACAATTCTATCCAGGTGTCAAACATTTTAAACTAAAAAAGTATCGCGGTTTTCTTTTCTAACCAGTAAATAAGGTTGCAGTAGCTTGTCAATGTACTTGCTAATCAGTTAATTTATTTTAAGCAAACTTCTTACTTGCAGATCTCTAAAGCCAAAAATAAATCAGTTAAAAGATCAACAGCAGTATATACTTACATAAGAATATTTTTCAGTCTTTAGTTGTAATTAGAAATTTTAAAAGTCAACAGTGCCTTGAAAAAAAGCATTCCATAAACTTAATTTACCAAAGGAAACCAAAGCAGAATAAATCAATGCATACTTCCAGGGCAGATGAATGGTAAATGGGTTACTCCATGGTGTACTGCTGTTAGGTAACTTGACATACATCCAGGAACTCTGAAAGCAGATCTTGTTTACAGAAAATGAATAGACCAAACTGACAGAAGAATTTCACTGTCCGTCACATCCTTAGAAATGAAAAGAACTTACAAACTGAGGTAATCGGGTGCCATAGTAATTATGGGAATGTAAATTATCCAGATTTGCAAAAGCAATCTATTTCTGCAGCTGTTATGTCCATGCACATCTCACTGAGATCCACAGGAACAGTTTCTGTGCAGCAGTTTGATTTTATTATTCATGTCACATATGTTTTTGTAACCAAAATGGATAAACTTTCCTTGCATTATTTAGGTTTAAATGTAGGGAACTATATTTAAAGTTTTCCACCTTCCCCTGGGGAGTTTGACAAACATGCATGTTAGAGAAGGCATGGGACTCTTTAGCAACTATGCAAACAGATGATTGACTTTGAATATCTACTAAAAAATAGAGATATGGAAGTATGATAATAAAAATTCTTTCCTATGTTTTCTTGGAATTTGAGATCCATTCTTCTTGGTGTGCATGAGACCCAGCTTGAGGAGACATAAAGTTCTCTAAAATCCTTCAGCCACGTTCTTGCTGATAAAGCTTGTTTTCTAGTAATCCACAGTTCCAATTCTGTGTAAATGTTTTGATTACTTTTTTTGCAGTTTGTAGGGCTACATGATTATATGGGAAAGCTGACAACAATGTAATTTAAAATTATGTATAGCTTGCCTTCTCACATTAACAATACCTTTATTTGCTCTTTGACTACAGAGCAGGACAGCCAACATTTTGCCAGCATTGCATACTTTGACGTTCATAATATAGAACATATCTTGCATCAAGTAGCTGTCCTCTGGCCTATTTCTGTTTAATAAGCCAGGCTCAACGGTGCAGTGTAATTTCATCTCAACATTTTGAAGAAATAAACTTTCTCTAGTCATAGATGACCTGCTCTAGAAGTAATTACACTTGGCACATGACATCATTTAGACAAATGAATGTGGATTTCATTTCTCTTCAGTTTAAAGGTTAGGAGAAATCTAGCAGAGGACAATTATCAGTAAGATAACTTTATTTATATAAAATTGCAATATAGTCAGTATAGTAATGAGCAATGAGTTTGATTTCATACAGCTTTATAGGTACTCCAGAATCCCACCATTCATACAAAGACATGTGAAGTAACAGTGATAATTAGAAAAGAGGAACCTTACGACATTCCCAAACATAGAATTTTAGCATCACATGGCTGTAATGATCACATGTATACCGTGCACATGAAAAAGATGTAGGAGAGGAGTGTTGTGCACAGATGCTCAGCGTTGCTGAAATGAAACAAGAGCATTTGCTTATGTGTAGCTTCAGCCTTTCGCTGGTTAGAATCATGCTTATGTATTTTTGGTATTGTATTAAAATGCAACACTTTAGGTGTTGTAAAAAATGGGGACAGAAGAGATGTATGCATAATGTAGGCGTATTAGTGATAGGGGACAGGTAGCACAGCAAAAGGCAACGCATAACCAGATATTAGAGAATTAATAGATCTTGTGTGTGGGTTCTTGTGTCTAAGATATATCGTGATATGCACCATTATGGCAAGTCAGAAATCTTGATTTCATTTTTTTAAATATGAATTTTGAAGATATATTAGAATATCAAGAACAATTTTCAATTCTTTTTCAGTTCATCTAACTTTTAACTAAGGTATTGATTTGGTTTTGTTTTGGTTTTGGTTTTTGGTTATTGGGGTTTTTTTACTTTTCTGTTGCCCTGCTGGTGAAACCTACATTTTCACAATGTGCATGGTTTGACAGGGACCATTAATCGTAACTTAGAGAGTAGGGTGTTGAGTCATATAACCTTCTTGTCTAAAAATTATTTCT